ATAACCATTAATACATATAGCATAACCACACCCTTTGACACCACTTTGCTCATAACCATTACCCACATATCTCATAACCACTAAGACATATAGCATAACCAAACACTCTTTGACATTACTTTGCTCATAACAATTACCCACATATCTCATAACCACTAACACATATAGTATAACCAAACACCCTTTGACACCACTTTGCTCATAACCATTACCCACATATCTCATAACCACTAACACATGTAGCATAACCAAACGCCCTTTCACACCACTTTGCTTATAACCATTGCCCACATATCTCATAACCACTAACACATATAGCATAACCAAACACCATTTGACACCACTTTGCTCATAACCATTACCCACATATCTCATAACCACTAACACATATAGCATAACCAAACACCCTTTGACACCACTTTGCTCATAACCATTACTCACATATGTCATGACCACTAACACATCACTACAAGAAAAACTGGGCTTAAGAGACGAAACTTTTTGCGACGGCACAACTGGCCGTCGCAAAAAATGTGACTTTTTGAGACAGTACAACTTGCCGTCGCAAAAATGTGACTTTTTGAGACGGCACAACTTGCCGTCGCAAAAAAAAAGTGACTTTTTGAGACGACACAACTTGTCGTCGTAAAAAAAAATAGAGTATTTGCAACGATAGAGATTTCTATCGCAAAAAAATAGAGTTTTTGCCACGATACAAGCTGCAGTCGGGAAAAAAAAAGAAAGACTTTAATAGGTACCATTGCAAAAAATAAATAAAATATATATATATATATATTGTGGCTTTGAGACGGCTTCATATATATATATATATATAGTCACAAAATGGTTTAAATAAATGCAATGGAATTTTTCTATCACATAAAAAAAAAATTAAAAAACGACGTCGTCTTACTCTTTTGAACATTTCTCTTTTCACCAATTTTTTCATCTTCCTATCTCTCTGTCTCTGTCGCTCTTCTCTTTCTCTCTCTCTTACTCATCATTCTTCTCTGTTTGTCTGTCTGTCTCTCCCTTCCTCTATGTGTCTCTGTCTCTCTTCTCTCTCTCTCTCACTCATCACTTTTCTCTGTCTATCTGTCTCTCTCTTTCTCTCTATGTCTCTATTTCTCTTCTCTTTCTCTCTCTCTCACTCATCACTCTTCTCTATCTGTCTGTCTCTCTCTTTTTCTCTGTGTCTCTCGTCCATCTCTCTTTTCTCTATCTCTTTCATCTATCTTCTCTCTGTGTCTCTCTCTCTCTTTGTCTATATATTTTCACCAATTTTTTCATCTTCTTCTCTCTTTTTTTTTCTCTCTCATTCATCACTCTTATTTCTCTGTCTGTCTATTTGTCTCTCTTTCTCTATCTGTGTCTCTCATTCATCTATCTCTTCTCTCATCTCTTTTCTCTTTTTGTCTCTTTCACTCATCTCTCTTCTCTCTATCTCTCTCACCCATCTTTCTTCTCTTTATCTCTCTCACCTCGCTCTCGCTCATCTCTCTTCTCTATGTCTCTCTCATTCATTTATTTTCTCTCTATGTCTCTCTCGCTCATCTCTCTTCTTTCTATCTCTCTCTCTCTGTCTCTCTCGTTCATCTCTCTTCTCTTTCTGTCTCTTTTTCTGTCTTTCACTCTCTTTCTCTTTCTTTTTTTCTCTTTCTATCTTTCTCTCTCTCTCTTCCCCACTGTGTTCGCGTTGCTCACTCTCTCCCTTCCGTTTTCTCTATTTACTGAGCTCCTCTCAATTTATCGATCCACTACAAGAAAATGCACTTTTAGCGACCACTTTGTCTCTCTCTCGCTCACCACTCACTCTCTCTCTCTCTCTCTCTCTCTCTCTCCTCTATCTGTCTCTCACTCATCTCTCTCTCTCACCACCTATCTTCTCTACCACCTTCACCACTACTGCAAATGCCATTTCACTACCACCACTACTACTACGGTCGCCATTTCACCTCTACGACTACCATCACTACTACCATCGCCACTTCTACTACCACTGCTACCACTATTGCCACTACTACTACTACAATTACCTCTCTTTCACCCCTGCCACTCCATCTACTCTACCACTACCACAACTTCACCACTAATCTCCTTTGCCATCACCACCACCACCACCACCATCATCTCTTATCCATTACCTTCACCACTACTGCCGCTTCCTTTTCTCTACCACAAAATATTACCTCTCTTCTCTCTCTCACTCATTACTCTTCTCTGTCTGTCAGTCTTTGTCTCTGTCTCTGTCTCTTTCTTTTTTTCTTTCTCTCTTTGTCTCTCGCTCATCTCTCTTCTCTCTATCTCTCTCATCTCTCTCTCTCTCGTTCATCTTTCTTCTCTCTTCGTCTCTCTTTTTTTATGTCTTTCTCTCGATCATCTCTTTTCGCTCTCTTTCTCTCTCTCTTTGTCTATCTCTCGCTCATCTCTCATTTCTCTCTATTTTTTTATGTCTCTCTTTCTATTTCTTTCTCTCTCTGACTCCATGTCTCTCTCTCTCTCTCTCTCTCTCTTTATATCTCTTTCTCTCTTTGTCTCTCTCTCACTTATCACTCTTCCCTCTTTCTTTCTCTCTGTGTCTGTTGTCTGTCTCTCACTCTTCCCTTTCTCTCTATGTGTCTGTCTGTCTGTTTGTCTCTCTCCCCCATTGTGTTCACCTTGCTCACTCTCTTCCTCATCTCTTCTCTATTTACCAAGCTCTCCACTACAAGAAAATGCACTTTTAGCGACCACTTTGTCTCTCTCTCGCTCATCACTTTGTCTCTGTCTGTCTGTCTCTCTCTCTATCTCTCTTCTCTATCTGTCTCTCACTCATCTCTCTCTCACCACCCATCTTCTCTGACACATTCACCACTACTACAAATGTCATTCCATTACTACCACTTTTGTCACTCCATCTCTACAACTATCATTACTACTACCATCGTACCAATCCACTACCACTACTACTACTACCATTATCTCTCCTCCACCACCGCTATTTTATCTCCTCTACCACTACCACAACTTCACCACTTATCTCCTTTACCATCACTACCACCACCACTATCACCTCTTATCCACCACTTTCACCACTACTGCCACTTCCTATCAAAATAAATATGAAACAAATAAATTTTCAACCTTACTAAATGAAAAAATAAAAATAAAAATTCATTAACTATAAAAAAAATTATTTTAATAAAAAATTATTTTTTTAGCAATGACATCCTCTATTACAAAAAAAAAAAAGTCATTTTATTATTTAAATATTTATTTATAATGAAAATAAAAAAAATCCAAAAAAATTTTCATTCTCCCTCCTGCCTTTTCCATTCCCGCTCGGTTCCCCCACCCCAAACCCAAAATCCCCAATCTCAAAAATCCCTAATCTCTTTCCCCCCCCATTCCCGCTCGGGTTTCCCCCACCCCAAACCCAAAATTCCCAATCTCTTCAACCAGTGCAGTGAAGCAACTTCACACCCAACCTCTCAATCCATCGCGCCTGGTTCTTCAAGCTGAACAAAATGAGCAGTAGTAGTAGAGAAGCCAAGAACATGAACAACAATCCCATTTACAAAAACCCTAACTCCCCAATCGAATCCAGAATCAAAGACTTACTCTCTCGAATGACCTTGTCCGAGAAGATCGGCCAGATCACTCAAATTGATCAACCAGTGCAGTGAAGCAACTTCACACCCAACCTCTCAATCCATTCGAGACCTCTCCATCGGTCTCTCTCTCTCTCTCTCTCTCTCTCTGTTTTTATGCATTTTTTTCCTTTGATCTTCGATTCATTGATTTCTCAGGGAGTATTCTCAGCGCCGGCGGTGGTGGACCGTTCGAGAAAGCAACGCCGTCCGATTGGATCTATATGATTGACAGATTTCAGAACGCTGCGCTCGAGTCTCGCCTCGGGATTCCACTTCTCTACGGTACTGACGCTGTTCATGGCAACAACAACGTCTACGGCGCCACTGTATTTCCTCACAACATTGGCCTTGGAGCTACTAGGTATTATATGTAACTATTGTTGTTGCTTGAGAGAGTGTTAGTTTGTGTGACAGAGATGCAGAGTTGGTTAGGAGGATTGGAGTTGCAACTGCTCTTGAAGTTAGGGCTCGTGGCGCTCAGTTTACTTTTGCTCCTTATGTGGCTGTAAGTTCTCGTAATTTTTTATATTAGATTATTTGATCGGATTATTATCAGACCATTCTGTGTTCATTTTGGTTCAAATTGGTCATCCATGTATCAAAGATTTATGTAAATATGAATGAACTTTGTTTGTGGCATTACGTGTTTGATCAAACGCGAGAATGAACTTTGTTTTTTTCTTTCCCAAACAAAATATGAATCTTAAGCATTTTCAATGAAGTTGAGACTGAAAGATAGAAATGAACGGTAAGCTAAGTGGGCAACTGTTAGATTTCTTTGAGAAATAAATGCAGAGAAGTGGTTGTTTCTGTATAGCTTTAAAATGATCTTTAGCACGATACAGTCATATTTTGAGGGATCGGCAAATCTAAATCTTTAGTGCCACCACATTGGATACTAAGGATCCTACTGAAAGAGCGAATCTGATTCTTGAGCATGTAGAGAGAATGGATTACAAAAGATATGTCACTCCAAAGGACATTGTTGAGGGATCGGCAAATCTAAATCTGGCATTTGTTGCTCAAATATTCCAGCAGAGGTCGGACTAATTGCTTATGCATATTTTGGCTTTTCCCATGATTTTATCACCGTGGATTTCTTTGTAATTAGTTTGTGAATTTCTTAATGCAGGAATGGCTTATCCATGGACACCAAAAATATGTCTTTTGCTGAGATGATGATAGATGATGCTCAAACTTCTAGAGAGGAGAGATGCTTCCGACTGTGGATTAACAGTCTTGGAGTTGATTCATATGTCAATAATATGTTTGAGGATGTCAGAACAGGCTAAGGCTACAATTTCCTTGCCCTATTTTTGAGTGCTTATTAATTTTGTTTGATTTTTATCCCTCTTACATGTAGATGGGTTATATTGGAAATTCTTGACAAAGTTTACCTAGGATCAGTAAACTGGAAGCAAGCAACAAAACCTCCCATCAAGATGCCTTTCAGAAAAGTTGAGAATTGCAACCAAGCTATACGGATTGGAAAGGAATTGAACTTCTCTCTTGTGAATGTAGCAGGAAACGATATTGTATAGGGAAACAAGAAACTCATACTAGGTTAGTGCACTTTGACACATGCTATTGGGCTTATGTGATATCTACGTTGAAGAAAAGTTTTCTTGAGTCACAATTTCTTGTCATATATCTGCTTTTAGTAGACTTTGCTCAGTTCTGCATTTATTCTTTCAGTTTTATTTCTACTTAGTTACTATCTTCTGTTTGAGCCAGAACCTTCATGCATCTTGAGCAGGGCGGGGTAAGAAAATAATATTAATAACCAAGTATTTTTTTTCTTGTCCTGTCATGGGCCACATAGCATTTGTGTGTTTGCAATACAGTTGTGTTCTGATATATGCATAAGATAATATGATTAACAGTTGTGCTAGACCAAAGCCTCATCTCTTTTAATAGTACTATGGGTGGTCAAATACTTCTATTCTAAACATATTATAATAAATTCATAATTGTTATAGGACTTCATAATGTTATGAGTGTTTGAATTGCTGATTAACCGAGCTAATAATGGCTTTTTCAGGAAGAGAACCTGTCAGCTATGAATACTGATCCTTGGTATTCTGCCTATCACTATTCTCATCCTCCTTTGTTGAAAGACTTGCTGCAATCGATGAACTTGACAAGAAGGAAGACTGAAAACGAACACAGGCTACCTAAAGCCAGTGAATGCACTTTCAAGTCCATTTTATACTCTTTTTAACTTGAGCATTTTCAAGCTTTAGAAATCGTTGGTTTTGAGTTTCGCCGTATGAGTCCTGTTGAAATTGACATTTCTCTGTTTTGGTATTAAATTCCACACCCAACAAAGGTAAGGCTGAGTTATGGGGATTTTCTGAGTTAGGTAAAAAAAATTACAAAAATGAACAGGAAAGCTAAGCTTGATTTGGTGACACAAACAAAATGCAAATTTGTTTTGGAGAATAGAAAGGTTCATATATTAAATTTTGATTTCTATAGCTTGAGTGGATGTACATAGATACTAAGGGTAGAGTGTTTTTTTATTTTATTTTTTTATGTCATTGTTATTACTGTTTATATTTTTACTAGCCTTTAAGTGTTTTGAATTGCCTAAAGAGTTAATGTTGTTGTTCAGAGAGAACTTCACAAACCGGAGTCTGATCGTTCTTGCATACATTTGGAGTTCGATGTATTTTTTCCTTTTATTTTTTGGTTGTGTTTGTTGTTTGATTTTGGTTTGGAAATAATGATGCAATGTTTGCCTAAATTTAGTCAATATATTGAAATAGCTTGATAGATTTTATCCATATTATTGCTATTTTTCAGCTTTATTACAAGTCCATTTGAGTGTAACTTATTTAACTACTAAACTGGGTGTATCAATTTGAGTGTAAAGTCCATGTTTTTCTGTGGTAGAATCATAGGGGGAATTTTAGTATCAAAAATCAAGTGCATAGTAATTTTTCAAAATTGTATATAATTTTGTTTATGATGACATGATAAATATATGAATATTTGCACAAATTTGCGTGATTTATCATGAAGATGACTTCCAAAATGTTGGAAACTAGACTAATAAGTTCAAAGAGTGACAAAGATTCAAAGTACCCACCTTTCCCATCAAAGAATAACAAATAGCCCCAAAATATGGAAACTCATCAACTAGTGGTTTGAAAATTAATCTGAAAACTTCCGTGAATCCAATATTTTGACCTAGATGAAAATATATACGAAAAATTATTAAAGTGGCATCTTATGGTAAAATTCCAATAACCGAACATTCTTTACTTTATATCATGTTATCAAATTTTTTAGTCACCTATTATTCTTCAGAGAGAGTGAAAGAGAACACATTGATTATCTATAAAATAAGTATTAGAAGTACTATATACATAAATAAAAAGTGAAAATAAAATAAATTTCAGAGTAGTTTTGTAATAGTTTTGCTACTAGGAAAAAGTTTTATTGATATGAGCTTCAATAAAGGTCCTCCACTCTAAAGAGGCTCACAGGAACAAACAATTTTAGCAGGAGGTAAGAGACTTGTGGACAATAATAGACTAGAAATCATTCCTTCGGATATGTTATAGAGTAGTACATTTGTCACCCTTCAACTTTTATTCGAATTTCACCTTAGTATCTCCTCACATTTTAATTGCAACAATTAAGTCTTTAGATTTCAACCCAAGCTTCAATTTAGTCCTCTTGTCACCCCACCATTTAAAATTTTAGTGAAAGTTAACGGGTGAAAAGCGTAATTTTTTTTTAATTTTTCCTTTAGTCCTTAAAACATGTTTGCATGGCGTTACATGAGCACTTTTTGTCCATCTTTTTACTGATGATGAGTGACCGAAGGACTACATGAAACAATAAGGGTTGAAGTCTAGGACTTAATTGTTACAATTAAAAGGTAAGGGACAAAAGTGAAATTCAAATAAAAGTTAAGAGGGTAAAAGGTGTAATTTACCCTATGTTATATATAAACACTATGCTGAATGTGTTCAAGGACTTTCTGCTTTGTGATCTTAAATTATCAAATACATTTGGATATCCTGGGAGGCTAACTTTATCTCTCACCAATTCTACTTGGTCTCAAGTCCCTCCAATTCACCTATCAAGTCCCTCCAATTATAAAGAAATGGCCTTTGATAGGGCCGCGTGGAGAAGAAGGATTCATGTAGCCGACCCATCTGATGGGACTTAAGGCTTTGTTTGGTTTGGTTTGGTATTGATATGTATTTCTTCTTTATCCAAACTTTTTTTTTCTTTTTCTTTTGATTATGACAATTGATCTGTTTCATTTCCAGGATATCATTGAAGAGCCTTGTGTTGCTGCTGATGGGTACACTTACGATCGCAAAGCTATACAGACATGGCTTGAGGAGAATGATAAATCCCCAATGACAAATTTGCCATTGCCAACTAGGAATCTAATTCCAAATTATACACTTCTTTCTGCTATTAGTGAGTGGAAATCTAGAAAACAATAACATCGTTTTGTTTGTAACTTCTTTATAGCGACCCCGGTCTTTTCCCATTTGATTATTGTATCCGGACTTAGGTTCCGTAGATTCCGTCATTTTATAATTGTTGTTGTCATTCATTATTTTCTTATTTTGAGTCTTGGGTTGTGTTGGGAAGATTTGGAGCAGGTTGGTTGAGCTTAGGAACCAAGTCTAGTTGCCCAGATTTTGGCTTGTCCGCTCGAGCGGGGGTTTGGACGCTCGAGCGGGGAATACACCCATCCAGTATGTCCTGTGTAGTGTTGGCCGCTCGAGCGGGGGATTGGACGCTCGAGCGGAA